ACAACTCCGAGGAGCTTCCACACGTCGTGGAGGTGGAGTCGCCCAAGTCTTTCGAGAGCAGGTTCGCATTCAGATGGTGGAGGGTAGCCCACCCGTAATCGCCACAGTTCGATCTGCGGAGACGAAGCGTTCTGGTGGCGGCGGTTTATATCTTCTGAGTGTTCGAATGTCGGAGCTTGGGCCGAGTCAGAATAAGCTCTCATCGCTGCGCTTATGAATCGATTTTTTTTCAGAGGGGGAAAATGATAAGGAAAACATTGCCGTTGTTGAGACTATTGTGGAGGAGATGGAGGCTGAGAGGATAGCTTAGTCGAAGGTGAGCGGTGGTCTTGAAGGATTTGAAATTCAAATTTTGAATGATGTGCTTGGTGTGGTAGGAGCGGCAACCGTTGAAGCCCTCAGCATTCCAACCAAAGGTAATACCGTTGAACCCAGGAGCAACACCCTCGAGAATCGGCAAGCCCCGCAATCCTGGTGTTATCCCCGCCACGACTCCTCTTACTATGTTCAAGCCTCATCGAGTGGGACTGTCTGTCTGTTCTCGTCTCAGTCGGTGGTCAGGTTCGGCAGCTGGCGCAAGTGTTTACTGCGAGCGCGTGCGCGGCGGCAGCTCGGTCACCGAAAAAGAAGGCAGTCGAGATAGTTGCGAAGCCACGTATTAAGAACCCTATCAGCCTTAGGTGGGTTCATTGGTTGGAGCTTGTTGTGACTTAGTCTTACTGTCAGGGCGTTAGGACGGTTGGATGGTGACAGTCCCAATGGTGCTTAAGATGATCATCATCGTTGTTGCTGCGGTTTCTCCGTCTATTGGCATAATTAGAAGCATGTGATGAAGCTTATAATGAGATTAGTGATGGTTACGAAGTAATCAAGTTTAGTTACAAGACCAGAGTCATCGGTGCGGAAACAACCACACAGAAAAAATCGAGAGTGCGGTAACTTGTGTCGTCGGCGAGCGAAGTAGACCGTTACAGTACTGCATATTTACGATTGCGAGAAACATCTAGGAGGCTTTCGTAGCCTGTACTCCAGGCCAGTTGTGAGTAGCTCATGGTATACCTTCCCTCCGCACTGCGGAGTCCGCAGTTGCGACGCGGGCTCTTTTATCTTCTCCCCGCCCCCCCCCTCTCCCGGGTTGAATCACTCGGCTCAGCCGAGTCGGCTGAGACAGCTCGTTGGCCGACCTCCGGGGTCGACCTCGAGCGAGCCTCAACCCTGTGATTTGGCGGCCCGACGTGCGGGTTTCTGGTTCGAGTTTAGTTTTCGACCGAATCCCGCATTCAGGGTCCGCTGTCCTGTTTACCATACCACCCGGTG